GAGATATTATCATATTTTGTATCAAATGGAACTTCTAGTAGTAGCTATCATTTTAAAAATTGTTTCGATGAATCAAATACACTAAAAAACAACAAAACTCTTAATAGGGTGTGGGTGCGAAAAGAAGATGCATACCCATATCGGAATGTGTTTTTAGTTCATCAGATCGAATATTAGAAAAAAGAAGATAGTTTTTTAAATTCAGATATTGTTGATGATATTTTGATGATTAAAAATTTTCGAGATATATATGTTGTTGTTTTTTGCTTCATGGTTGTAACAAATCGAAATGAAATTGTATAATGAATTAATACGAAAGTTTGGAATTTTCTTTAGTTTTAAAGAAAACAGGGCAGGATAGGGCATGCTAAAGGTTATGAAATAAACTTACAGGTTAGGGCAGGGCAGGGTGCATAAAAAAAAACTTGCAGGGTATGGCAGGATCAGGTTGGGTAAATCTCAGTAGGGCAGGTTACAGGTTGTCAAAATAGCGTAACCTGCAGCCCTCTATCGGCGAGAACGTCTATTTTTCTCTTCAAATCATCATTTAATCTAGTGTAATCTCAGTTTTTCAAAGTCTAATGTCTTTCGGTGAAAGGTGGATTCTCATGTTATCGAAGGCGGAACTTAATTCTGAACAAAATGTTAGCTTGAACCGTTAAAATGTTTTGGTTGCTTTGAGTTAAAGATGAATCGTACCGATCTGTCAAAAAAAAACAACCTTTTCTGCATCATCACAATTTCTGCTTCGAAACGTTTCCATCTAAAAGATTTGTCCTAACATTTTTGATACCAAATCAACAGATGTAGAATTTTGCGTAAAACATTGTAACATATTTTGACTTTCAGCGAAAGCAAGATTCAAAATTTCCAATATTTGAGTAGGTATGGATCTTAATAATTTCAAGTAAATATAAGGGAAACAGTTTTCGAAAAAGAAAATCAACCGTTTTGTAGAAAAATAGATTCTCTATCAAATGAGTACAGAAATAGATTTTATAAGCGTTTTCAAATTCTCTCAGGATGAGAAAAGAACCGATCATTGATTATGGTCCATTTGATAGTTCTTTCACTAGTTATTGTAAAACGCTTAGCTAAGAGTGTTCAAAGATTGTCCATTTAAGATCAATCTGATAATGCGGAGAATCGTCACTATAATTATTGGAATGTCATCAGTTTGAAAAATTTATTTCAATATATCGCTTCTTGATGCCCATCATTTATGTTGAGTCCTTTTATTTTGGTAATTTTATTTTACTTACAATACTTAGTTGAAAGAAACTTCACTTTACACCATGAACAAGGGCAAGCTTGATTATACAAAATGACTTACCTTGTGATGTTTTTATTTGCAAAACTATGAAAAACAATTTGATTTTTTCGAGGAAAAGTTACAAACTTCACGATAGCTTTTTTTCCATATTTTATGTTTTTATTTGAGTCGCACATTCTTGTAAAGGGTTACATAAAGCATCTTTTCGTAAAAAACTAGAAGCAACAATTGAAATTGTTTTGTTCAAAATCTTACGTGTTCATCAATACCTCGACTGAGGTTTTGATCGTGGTTCTATGTTGTCTGTGCTTGTTCGAAAAAGTCACTACTCAAATCGATGCTAATATTTGGTCTAAATCTTGCAATAATCTATTTGAAGAAGTTGCTTTGAACATAAAATAAAAAGTGCTGAGGAAATGTTCTTGTCTTTCTTTGGTTTTGTCTGCAATACAATCGTCAATAATCAACGTTTGATATCCGCGTGCAAAAGCTCCGTGTAAGCTCATCAAAACACAAACATTGGCAACTACACCACACAGTAATAGAATCTGTTTTCCATTTGATTTCAAATATTGTTCTAACTCAGTATCGTAAAATGCATCAAAGGTATGTTTAATAATGATTTTCTCATTGTTTTCAGCATTTGCCCATTCGCCGGCTACCTCACTTGTAACATCTTCAATAGAATCGATTGGAATTGAGTTTACTTTAGAAAAAGATGAAAACCATTTTGAATCATTCTTGTTGTAGACAGCTCGAATATGAATCAAGTCAATTGAATTCGATCGACATATAGTAAATAAGTTTCTTACATTCATTGGTAAATTAGGTTGATTTTCAAGAAGACTCGGCGAGCTATCGAAAAAAGCTTTCTGTAAATCAATCACTAGCACAGCACAATTGGAATATTTTGATTTCGACATTTGCCTTTTTGTTATAACACTAAATTGAAGCAAAAAGCGTTTTTTAGTAGAAATATCGTTTTGCATTGACCCGTTAGCTGTACAGAGTGCGTTAAAAATAATATTCCAGGTGGATAAGGCTATGATTTCAAATGGCATTCATAGCAAATTTTTGTACCAAATTAAAGCGCGTCGAAAATGCGATATATCGATTCTATATAGTACAGGATATGGTAAGTTTTTAGTGTCGAATTCGTGAAATTTCTGGAATTGTACACCATCTTGACATTGAAAAATTACTTCCATGAGGCAGTTTAAAATAGATCTCACCTAAAATGAGGAATATCACGTAGTACTATTTATCGCTGAAGGTTTGATGAATATGACCAATAATCAATATGATGATCGCTAGCTTTCTTTACAGCACGAAGGTGAGACGGATACGAACATGAAATGGTGTCAAATAAGTCAATGTTTGTCTCCATGTTTCTTAAAATTTCTTCATCATAACCATTGTATTTCGTGTCCGATAGCATTTTATTTCAGTTTTATTTTTGATTATTGTTCCAATATTTCCGAGCCAGATGTCGAGTACTTTATGTTATTTCTCATTTTAAGTGAGATCTAGTTTGAACTACCTCATCGAAGCAATTTTTCAATGTCAAGATGGTGTACAATTATAGAAACTTCCTGAATTCGACACTAAAAATTTACCATACCCTTTACTATATACAATCGGTAAATCCCATTTTCGACGTGCTTTAATTTGGTACAAAAGATTGTTCTGGGTGCTATTTGAAATTGTTTTCTATAACTATCCTTCCTAAGAAAAATACATCGACGTCGATCTTACCATGAGTTTTCAAAAGGTATGGAGTGAAAGCATGTGTCTTTTGCGCTATATTATAACAGAGCGCATAATATTAGAGATAAGAGTTCTCTTTTTATTTATCCTTTTTTTTTCTTTTGTTGTTATCGGCCAGGTTTCATGCGTAAAGGTGTATCAATATAATATGTGTCCTAAATAGAAAATATTTGTAATGTAGTGGCAGCAATGGGTATGGATGGCTGAGGACATGTGTCTTCTTGCTACTAATACCCGTACCCACACCACGTAGTCTCTCATTGTTTCGAGCATGTACATAAATATATAAGTGAATTGCAAAATTTGTTGCACTGTTATATTCTTATCTGTAAAATTTCAATAAGTGGAGCTATTCTCAATCAATCTTTATGATTGTTATCAGGTTATATTCTTCTAAGAAGTGCTCACTAACACACAAAAAATCAGAAATTTATTTCGAACCAATCTGGAGATATTGAATGCGCAAGATTAAATACTCTAAACTTTCAATACCATTTATCAGAAAAAAGTGCCATATAATCGACTGATTTTATTGTCTCTTGAACTTTGGAAGTTCTTGATATTATTGTAAAGAGTCTATACTTTTCGGATATGAAACTAATTGGTTCTTTCAGCGCACTTCTTATTGCAGTTTTTTCTGAATATTATAAGTACAGTCAATCCACGATTTGCTGCCATGCGAGATTAAAAACCACTTTGGCATCTAACGATGCATTTGAAATTGGTCCGACTGGTGTTGAATGAAACTCAATAAATGGAAAATAAAGTACCAAAGATGATAAGAAAGTTGTATTAATTCTTATTAACAAAAAAAAATAAAATAAAGTTTGAAAATTCGGTTGGCACGAGAGATTTTTTGGTTTGTTTGATGTATAACTTTCCTTAGGCATGACAGTTTGAGATGAAATTTTAATCATGTTATTTAGTCATTGCTGTCAACTATTATTTAAAATATCAACGTCAGAATACGTATAGTTTATGCAAACGAGAAAAATTAGTGTCAATATGTCACGCGAGATTATTATATGCATAACTCTATCACAACTAAAGCCAAAGTAGATTCATAATATATTAATTGACTTCACATTTGCAAATTTTATCACTTTATAGGTGTTAAAAGCAAATATTATTTAGGACAAATTATGCTGTTTCAGCCACTAATTCTAGATCGAACATGGTTCTTCATTAAACAGAAATGGCTTAACGTTAAAACTTAAAATACTATCGAAAAATACAAGTGAGACTTATACTGTCTAAGTCACATGATCTTAAGTTTAAACAGTAGTTTAAAAAAAGACTCTCATATCTCGACCACTTTGATAGTAGTAGTCAGGAAGACCTATTCATATACTCCTCTCATGTAGTACCGTAGAATGCACTAATCACTGTTTTAAAAATTGAAAATTTCTTTTCGTACATTTTTTTCACGGCGCGGCACAATAAATTTGCAATTCACTCATATGTAAGTATTGTTCCCTTTCGTTTTATCAATTTTGTCAAACGTTTTTATCCGATAAAGTTCTGTGATAAAAGGTTCACTTCAGCCAAGTGTATGTCAATTTACACGCCGTCTCGTAGACAATCCATTAATATTTTTTTTAAATAATTTGTGTCGTTAAAACGAGCGTTTTTAAAAATTATTATGACTAGAGGTACCTAGACATTCACTTTTCTTTGTCACTGAATACAGAATAATTATTTTTTCCTATTTTTCTGAAAAAGAATCGGCGAATGCATTAGATTCGTGCAACGTGTTTTAATTCATTGATTTTTCAACTATCGAAAAAAATCAGAAAGTAGAAGAAAAGAAATAAGACTCGACTACAAAGAAACGTTATGATTCGTATATAAAAAAGAACAAGTATAATAAACGGAAGAAATTTACCGTTCATCAGTAAATTTTGAAGCGTAAAGTTTTACAACATTGATATACATGGCAAGCTTTTGTTCAGTATTTCATTTAACACTATTATCATAAAATAATATTAATGTTTTGTTTAGATTGGCCTAATTCCTCCTGCTTTTTCACTACTTGACTAACGTCGTCAGCCGATGATTTATCATTATCGTTAGTCTCAGTATCAGTCTTCTTGGGCATGTAAAGATACCAGTATAAAAAACCAACAAAAAATGTTCCGCCAACAATATTTCCAAGTGTGACTGGCAACATTACACATGAAATATATTTTCCAACGGACAAATATATTTCCAAGCATCATACCCATTTGAACAGTAAACATATTGGCAATCGAGTGTTCATATCCAACAGAAATAAGAAACCATATAGGCAAGTAAATAGCGATTATTTTTGAATGTAATTCACGCGTACTTATAGTCAACGATATTCCAAGACAAATAAGCCAATCACCGGCAATACCTCTTAAAAATATTTGATGCCATTCAATGTTACCTTTTACTGCAGCAAGTTGCACAGTAAATGAAAGATAAGGATCATTAGATAGAATACCGACATAGTAAACAAGTATACCGGAGCAAAATAGACAGCCAGCAAAATTTCCACAGTACAAGACTATCCATGAAATGATAAGATTAAGCAATGTTGTTTTTCTATCTAACGTTGATATCATTAATATCATGGTGTTACCAGTAAATAATTCAACACTGGTCATAATAATCAAAATTAGACCAACAGGAAATACGGTAGCTTGTATCATCCTTTGTATGCCAGAATCGAGACTCTGGCCCGATGGAGCACTTCCACAACCAACAATGAGAAGAAACAGACCACTGAATGATAAGACACCAGCTAAAAATGATTTAATAATAGTATGATCGATTCTCTGTTTTCATTTTTGAACTCCGATAGCTGATACGAGTTCAACTGTATGGTGAACATTGTGGGCATCGCACATTGTTAAAGAGATTGGAATTTTTCGTATGTCTAATATCTAGAAAGATATACTATACAGCGCATTGTATTCAAAAAAAGCAAACCACACAGTCATATCTACTTGCTTCTATTTATTGAGGTTAAGTAGATTTAATGAAATGTCACATTTATTCTCAGTTTTACGTAGAGGTTAAACATGATAGAAAACAGTTGTTTCATTTGGTCTCTCATTTGAATATACAGACTAAAAGAAATGAAGGTTAAAGAAGATGTTTTCGATGATTGTCTTACTTACATAATATACAAATAGATCTGCATGACCACACCTTTTATTTATAGTCGTGGTCACGAAGGCTCTTAAATTTCATTACAATCAGTACTGATTAGAGATGTGTGAGTCCAAGATTTTTAGTGTCGGTCCCAGTATGCTCCCGATCACAGCCCTATTTACTTTGACCCCCTAGCGAAGATCTTCGGTGTTTTTATAGGGCATCGTTGATAGTTTCTAAAAGTATCTTGTATGGATTTACTCTTTTTTCCTGAGAAAACGACGAAATTCTGAAAAAAGCGGGTAACTACAAAAGTTCAAGACCTTGACACGATTAAAAATAGGATCTTATCAAGATCTTCGAAAGATCATAGGCAGCTTTAAATTGTTTTAAAATCAGACTCTTGACAAGTTTTCAATGACTTCTCATTAAAAAAAATATGGCAGTGCGTTACAGGATTATACTATGCTTGTATGATGGTGTTATCAGATTTATTGAAAGCATCATTATGCACGATTTTTTAAACAGAATAAACGAGAAATGAACGCATAGAGTATCGACCTCTGGACCTTCATTTTATATATCGATCAACTTACTCTACTGCACTGTGCCAAGTTATGATACATAAATTGAATCTTCGATATCTTAATTCTCACTAAAATGCTAAATTATATTTGAATTTTATGTAAACACAAATTATGGGAATTAAATAGGGAAAATACTCGTTGTGAGCTCACATTATCTTCTTGCGTGTTTAAATGACTTTCGCCAACATTGTTTTCATGTACTTTTATTGTTTCTCTATCTTTCATCGATATTGAGACGGTTTATTTTCGTGCATCCTATAGACTGTAATACCTATTGTAAACATTTATCTGGTTGTAAACATGTCCGAAACTCAAGTGACCCGCATCTTCAAACACAGCTCAGATGCAACATTAACTGGGTCTGTTTTATTTTTCATGTTCACACATGGGTAGTGCTGAATATCTTTTAGATTTTAAAAAAGTTTTGAGCCATATCCAACTGTAAAATTCAGACGCTTCAGATGGGTACGACGATAATGAAGTCAGAAATGAGATTTCGTAAAATTCGTATAAATATTGAATCATATTAACCATTCACATATTTCAGTTAATAAATGGCTTTAAATTCAGTTGCTAAATTTTTCCTCTGGATTTTTAATTCAGTTCCTACACATAATGTAATTGATTTTGCAGGTATTACAGTTGTAGATAAATTCATTTGACACTTTTGGTCCCATACATTCAAAAACAAAATAAAAACATATTCTTTTTTAAACTTAGAACTGCCGATCTTATCAGAGAAAAATTCATTGAGTGTACAGTAATCTAGTTTTAGTAAAGTAAACAATGTGGTACTCATAACTTAGAACTGCACGGCTAGATATCAAACATGTCGTATTTTGAAAGAGAAACTATTTCGAGTTTGTTCAACTCAGCGTTGACCTTTACAGAATCCTTTTTCGGTATTAAGCATAGAGAGAATCAGGCAGATGTTATTTGTGATTGATTGACGAATTTCATCAAGTAACATATCTTTAAAGACCATAAATGAATAGAAGTTCAGTGAATTTGGCGTACCTTATTCTTGCTGATTGAGATTGGATGTGGTATGGATGAATGTGAACTTAGTGAGAAAATAATGCACCTCTCAAGTTGAATAAAACTATCGTGTATGATGCTATCATTTACTATCATTAAGCATGCTTTGACTCTGTCTGACAAACAGTAAATTGTTTTATTTATTTCAAACATTTATTTTTTGTTGCCTCTACGCATGAAAGCTTGACAAAAAGAGAATAAAGGCAAGTTATATTTACATGATACATGCATTTGTCGATGAGTCTTATATTCTTGTTCTTATGAATCAATCAAATGTCATTCCGTATTTTATCCTCACGGATCCAGTAGAATTCGCAACCCCAATAACGAATAAATTATGATAACATATAATACATACTATATAGAAGTGAGCAAATTGAACCGTTTTATCATGCACATTATACAATTGAGAAGCCCTACTGATACAACATCATCTGAAACCATAGATTTTGTCGCATGCATTTCAAGATGTCGTTTATTCAATTATTCCTATGTCCTAATGTTTTTGGCAAAAGACGAGTAAATAGAGAGAGAGAAGAAAGTCATTTATTCACAACAATAGTAAATCATTACAAATCACCATAAGATACTGTAACATTATTATAAACGGTCGTTGTTATGTCGTAATATATCGTTATAACACGCCCAATATTACTGGCTGTATAAAATACCGTAATAGGTATCATCATGCCGTCATATTCTATCATACATAAGACCGTATTACTGAATCTTTAGTTAGGAAAAAACATGGCGTTGTGAGTGTGTCGTATCTCACCATAAATAGGTCTGAGAGAATCGTATTTTTCAATGAAGAAAGATGCGATGGGACAAGTTTTTTCAACTCCGAATCCAAATTCAACAAAATGAAATCGCAAATAGGATTTGAATTGATCTTGTACACAATGCCTCCATACATCTGTTTCTAATAGTAGAAAATCTTCACTTGAAATAATTACTTTCCAACTATATCAGCAATTATTTCTTAGAAAGCACAAACTTTAAATTGATATTCTTTCTTCATTGTGAGATTATTTGTTTTCTGTCCGTCATCCAGTTTTGATAAATATGATTAGAGATCTCATCATAAAGTGCATGATTCTAGTGATTTGTTGAAAATACAATACATTTGCATCAAATATTCAAGACAAGCTAACTTTTCCCGTTTTGCTTCCGCTGGAGTCATTTCAAAAATTCACTAGACTAGATTGAAAGTCGATTTATACGAATGATGAAACAATATGAATTTTTTTTTCTAAGCCTGTTCATAAAGAAATGACGAACAGAATAGGTCTTAATCAATTTACATGTCATCTTTCTTTTAATACACTTATTTGCAACGATGATCTGTTATGCAGGATAATATTTCTAATGAACTGATCGAAAGTATCTAACTCTCATCAAACTTAAACGAAGATGTCATACAGTTTGTTATATCGATTGTATTAATTAAGGGTGTGGGTGGATGTGGGAGCATAGAAAATAAGTATCCACACCCACACCCTTTGCATCAGTTGATCGATCATACATATCTCAGCGTAGAACAAATTAGAGAATATTTTTCTGCAATATTCGAAGGTGCTCATATTAATTGGAGGACGAAAATATAATATATTCATTTAACGTTGCCTACTCTAAAATAGAGACGAATCGTTCTGGAGTTTATATTAAATCGTGCGAAGGATTTGGTTGCGAAGGTATGTGTAAAAAGAGAAGGACACCCGTACCCAACATTCTAATATCATTTAACTTTCAATTGCAACAAAGCAATAAAAATGATTCGATGACATTATATTATCAAAACGTCAAATATAGATCATCAGAGATCAAGCGCGAGTGTAAATTCAAAGCGTTTGATCAAACATATGAAGTCGGTGCAGATTTTGAATGCTCTGATTGTTCTTTTCTTTCATAAATAAATTTACGACTGTTTTTCATAAAATGAGGACAATGTCAACAGAATTTAAAGACAAAAAAAATATTATATGTGTTAACGTTTTCGTTCAAGTAGTATCGCATCAGCTTTACATATTAGTAACATCGTCATAACCATTTTGATTTAATGCTGCTCATGTTTCTTCACGTTTGATTGAATCATTCTCATAATGGATGACTGTATCTGATACATCGATACAATATGGAATTGGATCAGTTTCAATAATTTTAAATTCTACAGGACGCACGCCTGCCGATACAACGAAAACATCACTTATTTTAACTGGTCGATACATTTAAAAAAAGTATGATTTTAAATACCTTTAGTTTACTATAGTCTACTTGAAACGTAATATTCACACGCCCTCTCCCCTTTCATACTAACACTGACATCTTTAATATGCTATTGCTTGCAGCTGTTATAGTGGATTCAATTACTTTTGATGATCTAATTTGTTTGTGTAAATATAGATTCACATTCGACGCTTTTTCTTCAAAGTATAACACAATGTGTTTTATTTTTATGAGGACATTTTCGTAAGCTTAACGAATATTGTGTAATTTCGAGGTATTGTGAATGTAATCGATATTGCAAAATTTCGTAGAATTGCGAAATTTTGTTGATAAGTGATAACAAAAGCACCGCATATAAAATGGCCACGTTTTTTTAATCCAGGAATCATTGTGTCAACATAACGGGGTCGTATCCTTCTTTTTTTTACTTATTAGTTTGAAATCGTAGAAAGTTAGTCAGGTTTTTGTTTTATTCTTGGTTCTCATTCTGTATAAACCATTTAACAATGATAATCGTATTGGTTACTATTGTAGTTCTTTTAGCAACAATTTATGTTTACTTCAAACGAACATATTTTACGTCTGACAACTCTGTGCCTGGCTTATCGCCACAAATCTTAGTCGGCAATCTTGCTCAATCGGGTATTACTCGTGGTAAATCTCTAGCTGCAGTTTTCTTGGAATGGCAGAAAATATATGGTGATGTTTTTCAATTTTGGTTTGGACCAATGCCTCTCATATGTGTCTGTGGAATTGAAGATGTACAGCATATATTTACTCATCGACAGATTTATGAACAAGGCGACTCACAATTGTGTAAACAGAGACTTTTATTTCATGATGCTCTCGTCTGTAATATAGGTTTGTAGAATTTACTCATTCTAAAAATTAATCAGATCAGAATAAAATTCGTTCGAAGATTATGTGCATAGTAACAAAGGAAAATCTCATAGTACACTTTCATAGTTAAGCCTCATTCAGTATGAATATATTTGTTTGACTACTTTATTGATTAATTTTTTTAAAACAATCATAAATGTTTTTGTTTTCTTTGTTCGTTGATCATAGGAGCAAAGCATAAACGTCATGCAGCTTTAACTGTTCCATTATTTCGTCGAGCTAAAATTATATCGAATCTGGATTTAATTGTTAATTGCACAGATAAATTGCTAGAACAATGGCATTCAAAATCTGAAGATCGTATGTTTGTACATCTTGACTTAGTTACCAAATGTCGAAATCTTCTATTGGATATTTTTGGTTTTATTGCATTCAATTATGATCTTGAATGTTTGGATTCAAATAAAATCACCAAACCAAATGAGCTTACACAGGCACTGAGCGAGTTTTTGGATATTTTTGTTGTGGCAATGCGCAAGCCTATGTTTATGATAAAATTGTATTTGGCAAGTAGTTCACGTTATCGAACAGTAATATCAACTATTCATGAATATTTTAATCAAATGATTGAACAAGAACAAAGAAAGTCATCTGACGAGATCATCGAAAGAAAGAGAAAAAGTTTGATTGCATCACTTGTTGAATCATTACAACAAGATGAAAAAAGTGAAGCAGCAAAACCAGAAGAAGATAAACGAGGTAATTATGTCAGTTGAAATTCTTAATTTTAACAAAGGCTTTTTCTTCTTGAATACCTGCTTGGAAAATAAGTGAGCATAGAGTATGCATTTCTACTACAATACATAGGAGATATCAGCAGTTTTAATCATTCTGACCTGCAGTTAACAATACCCATCATTAAAACAGAATATTGTGTTATTTATGAAAAAATTATTTTCTTAATCATTGTATTTTTGTTAGGATTATCTAAAAATGAAGTCTTTGATGAAATGTTGCTCTTTTTGATGGCTGGCTATGAGACTTCATCAGCTGTTCTAGCCTGGTTTATACATCTGATTAGTAAACATCCACAAGTTCAAATGAAAATCAAAGCCGAATTAGCACAATATACTCAACATCAACTTTCCATTGATCAACTTGATTCTCTTGTTTATTTGGATTGCGTCATTGAAGAAGTTCTTCGTTTTGCTCCGCCTACTAGTGGTGTCACACGAACATTGACAAGCGATGATCAACTCCCTCAAAGTCGAATAAAACTGCGCAAAGGTGATCAAATCATGATAACATTTCATAATTTGGCTCGGGATAAAAGATATTGGAATATTGATCCTGAATTATTCTATCCGGAACGTTTTCAAGAAGAAGACAAAAATCATAATCCATATGCATCAATTCCATTTGGTGGTGGTCATCGACAATGCATTGGTCAAGATTTAGCGAAATTCGAAATCAAAGTTATTGCAGCTAGACTTCTGCAACATGTTACATTTGGAGATGGAGGACCTGAAGTCAATCAAGGTGGACATGAACAAAAATTAACGATCGTACCTCGACATCTAGGAGTTACAATAACTTTCGACTAATACCTTTTGCGAACGAGTTTAAATTTTTATATAGAAATTAAGATTAGAAGAATAAATAAGGTATTTATTGAAATTAAAAAGCAAATAAGTAATCTAAATAATAAAGGGAATATAAAATAGTTAAAGTATAGAAGTGAGGAAAAAATAATAATCAGTCAAAACTAGCAGATTGATTTGTCATCAGTAAAAATTTCATCACTGAATGGTTGTACATGCATTGTAATTCTTGATTTGTATTCATCTGTTACTTTAAGACATTGTCAAAGTTTTCGAAGCGATGGCATTTTCCAAAGATATGAATCCATTGACTATGAGTGTATGCCACATTTGTCAATGTCTATTCTAAAAATATTTTTTCATGAGAGAACTATGCTAGCATTTCATGTTGGATCCGTCAGAAAAGTTTATTTACTGATAAAATGTTATTATTTTTTTTAGGGTGGGTGTGGGTGACTGTAGCTATTATCATCCAACCACACTCTGAAAACTTTGTGTTTTTTGTAACAGCAAAAATATGATTTCTTTCTAAAAACTCATAACACTTACATCTCATTAAAATAAATCGAAACTTATTTTTCAACTCGAAGTACCACTTAGTTGATAAACGTTGATTTTCTCACATGGATTTTAACAAACAATTTTTTATTTTTCATACCTTTGCTTTATTTCTGAATTTTACTCTCAACTGTTTTGAAGTTTTCTTTGTTGATCTACTTTACCCTCCATCATTACATAAAAGGCTTTCACTGGATTTTTGATCTATCGATTGGAGGGTCAAGGCAAAATTTAAAGTCTATTACCTGTGTCACAATTGAATATTAGGCGGAGTCAATGGTTAGCATCATTTTTCTCTTTGATAATTTTATTAAAAAGTGCCTCCGGGAAACTCACGATAAGTCGTAGACGAAAACTTCAGACATTTTCGAAAAAGAACTACAATCCCCGTTGGTTTCATGTACGATTCTTAAATAAGATCGAGTCAACCAAATTATCTAAAAAAATATAAAAAGCCAGGAGGAGTTTTGTATAGAACTGTATTCATGCTCTGCATTTGTTAAATAATAAGAATAAATCGAATATTAATGTTTTTTTTTGTAAAGAGGAGAAGACTGGTTCAAGAATGAAAAGTATTTCTTGCAATGTTCTTTTATCTATTTAATAATTAGTACACAAAAAGGTCAAAGTAAAATATCATTTTCATTGCTTTTCTTTTCTACATGTCCAGTTGGCTGATTTTCGAATGTGTCAATTCATATCTGATAAAGGACGTCTCGCAAATTATTATGTAAATCGTTGATAACTAAGGAGTTGTGGATGTCGAATATGCGTTATCTTGTTGGCACTCACCTAGACTCTTTTTATTACGATTTATTTGAGATTTCGTTAAAAATGTATCCTGAATTGATAACAATTTCACTTGATGAATTTCACGCATTATCATCTCATAAGGTCATACTGATGCACTGCTTTTGTCGAACGAAACTTTTTCTCATTAAACTAATTCGAGTTTTGGTCAGTTATTTGATTTTCATAGGTTCAAATTGAAAATGATTGAGATATACAATAAAAACAATTGAAACACTGACAGTAAATAAATAAATACCAATTTTTATCATCCATCAAGAAAAGAAATCAATTATGAAACCCAACAATAAGTATAATTCGAATCTAAATTAGTTGTCACTACTTAATAATTTACCTGGTCCACCACCTTATTGAAATTATCGCATCATCGATGTTAAAAAGAAAAGTAGAAAAATGTACCCATATGATTTAAAATTTTTGAATCAATTAATTTATTCATTTGACTAGTTAATTTTTGCATTTCTGCTGGATTAACAGTTTTCTTCATATTTCCTAAATCAAATAAACCTTTAATACCATGCATTTGTTTCATCACTTTTTTAAATTTCGAATATTGGGCTATTAAATCTTGTACATCACGCATTGAAGCACCAGCACCACGAGCTACTCTAGTATAACGACCAGGTTGATTTCTAAAAAGTTTTGCTCCATCAAGGTGATCAAGTTCTTCATGTTATTTTATGAAAAAAAAAACGTTTTTTGTTTTCTGTTGAATAAAATTTCTACTTAACATTATCATTCATACTATCCATAATGCACATCATTTTTTTCAAGTGTACTTGTGATTCTTGTTCACCACTTTTTGATATAAATTCTGTACCAAGTCCAGGAATCATACTCTATTTAATAAAAATAAATCAATTTATTTTCATAGATAAATTTCCTTTACAAACTAACTATAACTTGTCCAAGTGAATCCATTTTCCTGATCTTTTGAAACTATTCATACATATTTCGTAATGGAAATTGACCTGAATAAGAATATATTTAATCATTATTTTTATAACCAATGTATAGAAAGAATTTTTGTCTTGAGCGTATTCTAAGGTGATATTTTCCATTGCAAATCGAACCTTTGATCAACAAGTCAAATCATAGATCAAAAATAAATAAAATATTCTGTCCAAAAGACTTCGAATGTATTCATTATTTAATTTTACCGTGTTTCACATTAATAATAGTTTGTTCATTCTCTTCTAATTTTTTCAAATAAACCATGTATATCACCCATACCAAATAATTTATTAATAAATGATTTCATTTTAAATATTTCAAAATCATCACTATAGTCACTTGTACCAAAAAATATAATTGGACTTTTTGTCGTAGAAAACACTAAAATAATCAATAATTATATAATATTAAATCTATATTAAAAAAATAACATACGCAGTAAGACCCCCATCACCTTTAGCATGATTATCAAGTTTAGTAACAATAACTGAACCGACATCAACTTTTGATTTAAATGCTTTTGCCTTAAAAACATAAATATTAATCAAATAAAGAAATACATACTTGTAATTCGCAAACTTGACCAATACTACATAGCATCCATTACAAAAATAATATTATCTGATGTCTTTAAGAAAATAAAACATAGAAATAGAATTCATGTAAAATTTAATCTTATAATTCCATTTGAAATTCGAAGTATTTCTTCGAATAATGATTCTTCTTGTGCATATCCGACCTTTTGTATCAACAACAATTAATTCAAAAATATCTTTACAAAATGTTTCAACGTCATCCATAGCAACAACTAATGGATCACTTTCTATATAACTAATATTTCATGAATAAGAATCTCAATAGTTACAACAAAAAACAAACTCTTTACTTACCATGAAATGGTATAAGTGCTTTTGTTTCAATTAATTAAAAGCACCAGCACGAAATGTATCAGCACATGCTAATGTTGTTTTCTAACCACCTCTCATATAATGATAAGCATACTACAAAATACAAATAAGAAATTTAATTCATAAAAATATTAATTCTTACTTTTGTACATGCTGTTGTTGTAAATCAACAAACATAACAATATTAGCTTTTTTTTTAACTGGTTGCCACGGTTTAACTTCAGGATCAATTAACTATGAACAATAAAGAAAAAAGAACAAGATTATCTTTTTTTTTTGTTATTAATTTATTTTAACATATTCGAACAAGTTCTGTAAAAACAGCTGATTGAATTAATTGACATTTATTTAAACCAACAGTTGTGGTTCCTAAATTTATTGCTTGTCAATTCATATAGAAAAGAAAATTATTTTTGACATTTACTCAGTAATTCTTGAATTAGATTTGAGGTGTGAAAAAAAAACGACGATAATTTTAAAAGTCATTCTCTCAATTGTATAACTTCTAAAACGTAAGTTGACCAATATTCTTCTGATACATCCAAATTTGCCGCATTAACTTACGAGTAAAACTTCATACAAACAAAGTTTCATTTGAAATCAATGCGAAACTCAATTTATTATATGATCTGAGGAAGACTACAGTTTGCTTTTGAAAATTCTAGCAAAATTTTAAGAACGAAGAACTGAAAAATCTAAGCGTTCGAGACTTTTCTATTTACTCATTAAATGAATATCATCTCAGTCGAAAAGTGATTTGACACTCACAAAGAAAAAAAAAACACCGTTCGTTCTGAAAAAGTCAACTCTATTTAGAATCATTATCAATGTTGTGATTTAAAATTATGCTATCATTAAAAAAATTCAAGCAAAGTTTTGTTTTACATTTCTAAATAAAATCTATTCTGAAATATTTTATATATGAATTGTCTTACTTGACATTTTCTCGTAACTGCTTAACTAAACGAATATAGACATCAGCTTCTAATAGAGCTCGACAAATTTTTCTCAAAGTTTCATCGAAAACTTGCTCGCTGATAATCGTTCCATTGCTTAAATTTCGTAATGCTGACGAAAGACTTCGACCAAGATCAATGAGAACCATATTTAATTGAACTAGAACAGACATATCAATTATATATAATTTCGTTGATTTGACAATGTAATATATAAAGAAATGCATCTTTTAATGCAACAACAAAAAAAAAAAACTTTAACGAGGAATTGCACGATAAAAAATATGATGCAATTTTCGATCAAGTATTAATAATGTATTTTCAATCGATATAATATAATGAACTATCGAAATTTTGTGTTCAATTTTTGTCTTAATAAATGTTGTTAAATGTTTTATAGTTAGAATTTTTCTTTTTTTGTATATACTACGATGATTGAATCATTTTAATTGTAATTCAATACTATTTATTATTGATTCCAAGTCAACCGATCCTGAAGTAGGATTAGTCAAAGATTCCTGCATGTTCATATCGTATACGATAAATTTTTCGCAAATTTTGTATTTAAGCTCTGTAGACAGTTTTATAATACAACCGCCAATACTCGTTAAAGGTTCAGTTATATATTTTAACTGTATTGTCTTCAGCATCGTATGAAAACTTCAAAAATCTTTAGAGGCCTACCGGTAGATAGTCAAAAGCGTGCCAGTCTACGCATAGTCGTTATTGAAGCGTGTGAGTGTGGGTGTGGGTGGGTGTGGGTGTTTGTGTGGGTGTGGGTGGGTGTGAGTGGGTGTGGGTGTGGGTGCGGGTGTGTGTGGTGTAGAACAAGTGATTGCAATCACATAAACACCCACACCCCACACCCACACCCACACCCACACCCACACCCTCTCTTTTACCTTCGATAACTATAGCTATCATAGTAGAAGAAGACTGTATAGCGAATACCACAACAATGGATCAATCGACATATACACTATTCGATATAGGTATGTACTTATGAGAATATACTCTAAAACGAATGCAATGGCATCGATCGGATTATCATGTCTCACAATCATGATGACGACCAACACTACACATTCAAAAATATCCGCTCACTTTAAAATAATTTTTTCTCACATCGATATCAATCACCCTTATGAGTCATCCCAACATTGAACTTGCCTATACAATAAAGCATCATCTCATCGACTTACCATCCTCTGAATATCTTCGGATGACCATTCGAATTCACAGTAATAGAAAATTCGATTTATTTACGCCAAACGAAATACTTATCTGATCTCCTCATCATTTTACACAAAATAACATCACTAAGAATCTAACCCAACTATTCAAATTAAAATTCAGCCTAAATTTACCAAAGCATCTTTATTCAAAACGGCGAATACTATCAACATCCACTCGACATTCGATGTCAACAGCGCAACCACAAACAGGTATTCAGAGGTTGCATTCTTTCACTATCCAAAACTCCGAGACATACAAACTTAAATATCAAGCATATCATACTAAAAGCCCAAATACTTTATCTTCCTTGCCAATCAAAAACAACAAAGAAAAAGTAGTCAAACGTTCACAAGCTGATTTCAGTTTTTCACCAGCCCATAATAAATATAATCGTTCATCATTTTGTTCGCTCTTTATTCCATTTAATCAGTTCCACCAGATGATTACTAAGCTTCCGTCCAATTTGATAAACGCAGATATTTAGTATCGTGAGTGTCTGTGTGAAAAGGTGCACATGGGGATATGAAAGAGATGAAGAGAGCATGAGGGTCACCGTGTTATTTTGTAACCCATCAGCCAGATGTTGTCCTCCTTGTTCTCCAATTCTATTGTTCCAGAGATATAGTGTGGTGAGTGTCTGTGTGAAAAGGTGCAGATGGGAATATGAGAGCGATGAAGACAGCATGAGGGTCACCGTGTTATTTCTTAATGCATCAGCGAGATGTTTTGCTCCGAGAGCTCCGATATGATTATTGGAGAGTTCTAATGTGGTGAGTGTCTCTGTGAAAAAGTGCACATGGGCAGATGAAAGAGATGAAGAGAGCATGAGGGTCACCGTGCTATTTCTTAATGCATCAGCGAGATGTTGTGCTCCTTGGTCCCCGATTTGATTGTATGGGAGATGTAATATGGTGAGTGTCTGCGTGAAAAAGTGCACATGGGCATATGAAACAGATGAAGAGAGAATGAGGGTCACCGTGTTATTTCGCAATGCATCAGCCAGATATTGTGCTCCAAGAGCTCCAATTTGATTGCCGTTGAGATCTAGTGCGGTGAGCGTCTATGTGAAACGGTACAGATGGATAAATGAGAGTGATGAAGAGAGCATGAGGATCACCGTGTTATTTCGTAATGCATCAGCGAGATGTTTTGCTCCGAGAGCTCCGATTTGATGATGGGAGAATTTTAATGTAGTGCGTGTCTGTGTGAAAAGTGCACATGGGGATATGAAAGAGATGAACAGGGAATGAGGATCACCGTGTTATTTCGCAATGCATCAGCCAGATATTGTGCTCCTTTGTCTCCGATTTTATTCCAGGACAGCTCTAATGTGGTGAGTGTCTGTGTGAAAAGGTGCACATGGGGATATGAAAGAGATGAACAGGGAATGAGGATCACCGTGTTATTTCGTAATGCATCAGCGAGATGTTGTGCTCCTTGGTCCCCGATTTGATTGTATGGGAGATGTAATATGGTGAGTGTCTGTGTGAAAAAGTGCACATGGGGACATGAAAGAGATGAACAGGGAATGAGGATCACCGTGTTATTTCGCAATGCATCAGCCAGATATTGTGCTCCAAGAGCTCCAATTTGATTGCCGTTGAGATCTAGTGCGGTGAGCGTCTATGTGAAACGGTACAGATGGAGAAATGAGAGTGATGAAGAGAGCATGAGGATCACCGTGTTATTTCGCAATGCATCAGCCAGATATTGTGCTCCTTTGTGCCCGATTTTATTCCAGGACAGCTCTAATGTGGTGAGTGTCTGTGTGAAAAGTGCACATGGGGATATGAAGGAGATGAACAGGGAATGAGGATTACCGTGTTATTTTGTAATGCATCAGCCAGATATTGTGCTCCTTTGTGTCCGATTTTATTCCAGGACAGCTCTAATGTGGTGAGTGTCTGTGTGGAAAAGTGCACATGGGGATATGAAGGAGATGAACAGGGAATGAGGATTACCGTGTTATTTCGTAATGCATCAGCCAGATGTTGTGCACCGAGAGCTTCGATCTCATTCCGGGACAGCTCTAATGTGGTGAGTGTCTATGCGAAAAAGTGCAGATGAGAATATGATAGAAATGAAGAGAGGGTGAGGGTCATCGTGTTATTTGGTAATGCATCAGCCAGATGATGAAAAGAATTCTTTTCTAATGTGTGCATACGTATATTATAAGGAGGCGGCGGTAGTTTTTGTTTAATATAAAAATAGATTTATTTTATCCTATATAGTATATCACAAATTTAATTTACACAGGGTAGTCAAAAAGTTCTCGTAATAGTATTCTACAATTTCATCCTGATTGATTTTATTCCTGATGTTGGCCTATTCTAGTAGTGAAATCTGTTATGTGTTAAAATACCAATGCGAAGTTTTACAAGTGTCTATTATGACAAATCTTTAATCAATTTGTTCAACAGCTCTGTTCTCCGATGCATAAACTTTGTATTCGCTTATATGTAAAAACTTGTTGGTTATTAGGTTTAAATGCTATACAGATGCATGATGAATTAACTGCTGCTTATGGACAAGGTGTTGTTTCATATAGTACA